AATGACCAGTGCAATTCGCGCATCTGTCGGTAGAGGGTTCAGATAAAGTAAGTAGCTCGCAAAGAGGGAGTTCCCCGGCTGGTACCAATAGATAGAGCGACTAGTAAGAGTAAGATAAGCAAAGGCGGTCCTTTTCTTTCCCCGGACCGATGACTCGCTCGTTCAGTACTGCTAACTATTTATTATAGGAGGATGCCGCCCCCTCGGGACTACCAGTAGCTTCGGTTGTTGAATCTCGTGCAAGTTAGGTTGTGGCTGCAAGCGGAACGTAGGCGCTTTAGGTGTGTGTTAACCATGCACTCTCGCTTCGTGTAATGTCGTATGTATGATAGAGGTGGTGTGGTCATTGACCTCAATGCTAATGGTTATCCCCAAGGTTCAACGAATGAATGAAGCTATGATCGTACCCGGATAGAGATGATGGTCTTCCTCTGATGTCTTCAAGCCGGCCATAATAGAATAGATAGGCGAAGCAGTCTGTTCTCGCCTATTGATAGATAGCAGGTTGCTTCCAAGCTCAAACCATTTGAAACTGAATTGCTACTTTTATTCTTGTTATTGATAGAGTGCTCCGCCCCTGTCAAATAAAGTTATAGGGAGAGAACTGGAAGAGAGAAGGAAAAAGAGCAAAGGATTTACAAGTCTAATAGGAGAAGAATGGCTGACACGTTGACTGCCTTCGATACTCGAAAAATAACCCAAGCGGTCTAACCCCCGGGGCGGACCCCAACCGAAAGGCGCTAGACGGACTAACGGCAAGCGAGATAAAGAAAGCAAAGCAGCTGGCCCTATGTGTAAAACCTTGCCGCGGGAGAGTCTTTATCCAATGAGAATAAAGAAAGTTTTTGGGCAAGACAAGAAAGAAACTCGCCCTTTGACACCAAACCAAGGGATAAGAGCTGATTGCTGGCGATGACTTGGTGAAGGGAATCTATGAGAGAAGGTTCTCGAACAGGGTTCCGACCGAATAGAGCACGGAGCCAACGAGTTCAGTCGAACAAGGTAACGAGTCTAAGGGCAGGATCAAGCTTGAAAGGAATGGACGGGCGTAGGCTTAATAGTGAACGCTGCAACTAGATATGAGATCGATGTCTTAAAAGACAGATGTCGAGAGAAACTGTTAGACTTCTTTATTGCGTTGCGAAGAGAGATCGAAGACGAAGATTTTCTGACGCAGTGCGGGCACTGGATGGAAAAGACAGATAAAGGAACAACCCACCGGAAAGGCATACCTCAAGGAGCACCAATCTCCCCCGGCAAACATCTATCTGCACGAAGCCGACCTATGGATAGAAAGAAAGAGTGAAAAGTCCCTTCTTGCCAATCGTAGTCCTATCTTCTTAAGCAAAGCGAAAAGGCACGAAGTAGCTCGAACAAAGTGAGAGGAACAGTCGGAGACCTTCTTGGCTCGGATCAGTCATTCAACTTCCTTTCTCACCTGAGAAGGAGAAAAAAACTTGAATCAGTTACCTTAGTTAGGTTAGTCAATCCCAATCCGCTCACACTAAGAATAAAGTAAGACAGTACTCACCTGCATGCAATACAAAGAATAAGGGGGAGCATCGCTAGGCTTTTGATGACGGAAAGAGTTAGGAGACTATAGCATTCCGTGGAAGCACTTCTTTTTCTTACTTCTTTGTAAAGAGTACCAGCGCTAGCGCCCTTCTCTGTCTCCATCAATGGCAGAAAAAAGTGGTCCACTCAAGTCGGAGCCCACTTATCTATAGAATTTCTCTTCCAAGGGCCAGTCTACGGAGGAAAAAAGGAGAAAGATTTCCGCAGAATTTGAATCCGGCATTGTAGAGTAGAATAGGAGTTCTTTCTTCCGTCACCTCTTATACTTCTTTCAAGTAGATCGTTTAAGAAGTGAGATAGCTCGGCGAGCATTCCCCTTGGGCTAAAACTCTTAGACTACCTGGACTTAGCTTTCGCTCTTCAGTAGTGGCTGGTGAGGGTCGGGCTGAATCCATTCGTTCTCTAGCTTAGCCATCTTCCTCACAGAATTTAATTAATTCGGCGGACTGCACTGAGAAATCTCTCTTTGTTCCTCTCACTTTGTTCGAGCTACTTCGTGCCTTTCGTGGGTGATTCTTCAATTAGCTTAACTAGACTAGATCTACCATTCCCAAGCCATTCCTCTATGAGCTATGTGCTTACGGAGAATTCCCCTCATTTCTATCTCAAGGCCAATTCCTTTACCCTTGCCTTCAGGTAAGGGACAGACTGATTGCACCTACCAGGCACAGGACTTATTGGCTTAAGAAGCAAGCCAAAAAAAGAAGGGATTCGCTTACAGAAGTACTATCCATATTAAGAAAGGGAATATATCTATTTGAAGGAAGGTACTCGTGTACGGGAATCGAAGTGATTAGAACAGAACTGAGCTTGCCTGAAGAAGCAACGGACAGATAGACTAAAAATGGAAATCCTGTATTCTATCCTTTAATTGATTGCATACCGTCTTGCTCCTGTTTACCGTACTATTAGCTGTACTTCTTTCCGAATGGTTCATTCCCTACTGACTCTATTAGGGGCATAAAAAAGAGTTGTCTTTCCTTTCCTGTACTATTTAAATTTCCCTATTTGATCGAGTAAGGGGAAAGGCAGACCGCTTACCATAAACAGAAGATCGATATCGCACAGAAGGCCTGATATCGCCCTATTTGAGATACTGATTCAAGTTATAGTACTTCCTCAGAGCGATTGAACTAGCCTTTTGTTTGACTAAATAGATATGGGCGGAATCCTGAACTACAGGAAAAAAAGGGGAGAACTTGCATCAGTATCTCAATTTCAATTCAAACATGGGTTTGATTCACACTCCATGTTTTGAGAAATATTTACCATCCGAAAAGAGGAAAAAACTTCATCTTTACTATTGTCACTGACTCATACATTCTCTGTGGAGTCCCCCTTCTTTCTCATGCAGAAAGAATTTTTACCACTGAAACGTCTACCTTATCCTTGACCACCATTAGCACAGCTTCGAAGAACTTTTTTTCTCGGTCAGCTTTTCTTTGATCTATCTCCGCGGGTCACTAAACTAACCTTCTCTGGTCAGCTTTGTATTTTGGCTATTGAACTAATCTTCTTCGAACCTCCCATTCCCGAAAGGCAACAAAGCCACGTTAAAAGCCCCTAACATGGTACCCATTCGATGCTCGAGAAAATAAGATAGCTCTGGTTCGTTCTCCCTTTAAGACCAAGGGTCCATGTGTTGTTAAAGATGAGGGCATTGTACTCAGAGTGGCTACGAGAGAAGCCGACTTATCCGACAAGGATAAAAAAGAATAGTTTATTGATAAGTTTCCACGGACTTTCGATAACCGGCTTGTGGAGGTGCCCATTATGCCTCTTGTGATTGAGGTGTACGCATATCCCTCTGGAAAGAAACTTTTCGTCTCTACGTAAACAGATGAAAATTTTGAATCAAAAACATCATATAGTTAGTTTAGTTTGGGATACTGAAACCCAACTTTTCAGGCGCACAAATTAGCTTTTCAAAAAGCAAGTCAGGGACTCCCTCACCAAAGGCAAGCCCTTCCACAGGAAGTCTTAAAGTCATTTGAATGTCGCTAATCCGCTCTTACTTGTATCCCCCTTCTTGAACAACCAATATTGCGCTAAAAGCTTCTTATGTCCGGTGAACCAGTCTTCTTTCTCCAATCCCCTGACTGCTTCCCCTCGGTAAGAGGGCCCCGGTACAGGCCATTCCTTGCAAGATGACCTTTTAAAGTTGAAAGCATGATTGCTTGAACAAGCACCTCTCTGGGCTATCTATAGAAAGCGGATTCTCCTCGCAAGGTGAATGGCATGATGAGAACAAAAGTTAGGAATGGCCAGGAATTCGTCCTAAACGAAAGTATGTGTGTCATAGGCTGACCGCACGAGTAGAAGATCTGGCAGGGTCCCTCGCCTCTATCCCTTTCTTTAGCAAGATAGGAGTAAAGTACTCGGTCAAGCCATAGACGGATTGATGTGGCGTAGCGGCGACAGGAATCGATCTTCCTGCGTAGTTGTGTTGTAAGGACAAATGGAAGTCTTTCATGTCTTTTCTTTTTCTCTTGGCGGTTACCATTATTGGGGCTTTAACGTGGCAACAATGCACTTGTCGATAGGTCAACGGAAATATCGTACGAGAAGAAAGCGAAGCGGGGTAGAGGAATTGGTCAACTCATCAGGCTCATGACCTGAAGATTGCAGGTTCGAATCCTGTCCCCGCCTAATTACGTCAGGAAAAAGAAAAGACAAAGAAAAGGGTTGAAGAAGACGAATGTGAAAGTGTTCAATGCCATAGAAGACAAGAAAAGAAGAGTTAAATAGATAAGGAAGCTAGCAATTCTTTCCGAGGACAGCTGTCAAAGCCTTCACCTCCTCCAACCTGCCTTCTGTGGTGAACCAGAAAAAAGACCTTGGCCTTTCTATTTAGTGAATCTTAATGGGCCCTACTAAGCAAGCCCCCGGATACAACGCTTTGAGCTAGTATAAGCGCTCGATACAGAAGCTGATTCCTCTCCTTCTTGTTCTAATTCAAATGCGAGTATATTTCATTCCTCTCCACAGATTCGAAAGGCGGCCATTTACTTTAGGCAGTAGGCCTTGCCCTGTATCCTTCAGGTATTTCGCTGCCACCACCCTCGCCCATAGGGCCTCAGGTTCGGTTAAGAGTCTCCAAGCCATCTTTACCATATAAGCTTCATAGGGTCTTTCTGTCCAGGTGCAGGTAGTCCGCATCTTCACAGACATGTCTATTTCACCGAGCCTCTCTCCGAGACAGTGCCCAGATCGTTACGCCTTTCGTGCGGGTCGGAACTTACCCGACAAGGAATTTCGCTACCTTAGAACCGTTATAGTTACGGCCGCCATATGAACCTGTCTATAGGAGCTATTAAGGAATAAGACGTCTGAGAAGGCGAAAAGAAATGGAATCTGGTGTCAGTAGTACTAAGGCAGGCCAGAGAGTTGGAATTGCTTTATATAAGCAAGTGTAGCGAAGGAGACTCCATTCTCGATTTCTATTGCGACAGAGGTCATAATCGAGAGAAAATCACGATTAGACTCAGTCCGGATAAAAGAATCCAATCCGAAGTTAGTCTTGGCGGGCTTCTTTCCTTTGCTGATTCTGGAATAGCCGACTCCTGGTAAATGTACCAGCTCAAAGGCGATGACTAGTAGATCTGGGCTAGAAAGCGAACAAATAGACATGGTCATGATTGTTGACTAAACTGGCCGCCCTTTCTCTGATTCCCCTTACCGACTTTGAACGAACTCATGCTTGAATGAGAAGAAGCGATTTGCGACTTTGGTCCATGAATTCTAAGATAATGCGGGGGCGACATATGAGAGAATCTCTTTAACAACCGATATTGTGACATCTAATCCAAACAGCGGCGACACCCCTATTCTTTCTTTCCGGGGTCGGAGACATTGATCCTTCTGGTAGCAAGAGTACAAGTTTTTAATGCTACATCAACAGGTATAGTAAGCTAAATCGTATGTTTTAGTGAGTGATCCGGATTTCAAAATGCTATTTGGCGCTGTCGCCCTTGTTTGGAAGTGTCAGTCTCAAGCAAGTCCAAGGCAAGTAGGAGAATCTTTCTAAGAATCCTCTTTTTGGCTATACTATATCGATTTTTTCTTCCTTAGCTCTGCAGACAAAGAAAGCTATAGTGAAAAAGCCTGCCCTTCCTGCGTCAGTTTCAGAGTAATAATAAAGACGATGTAAAACCTGTTATCAAACTTTATAAAAGGAGGATAGGCAGAGCTAGAAAAACCCTAGTCTATAACGTTTGGATCCCCTTGAGCGAATTGCAGTGAAAAGGGAAGCAAGCCCAATTGCAATCCTAAGGATCAATGGAAACTTAAGTTGCAGTGCCTCTTTCTACCAATACAGTATCAGTGAGCTTTCCCCGGGCCTAAGAATTCTCTCCGCAGTGAACAAATACTCGTCGAATATCCGTTTCATTCTCTCCTAATAAGAATACCCTAAGTATTATCTCCTAAGCCCTATGAACCCGGCCACTCGACCTTCCGGATGGATGATACCCATACCCTAGGAATACCCTGTATAAAACACAGATATTTTGCTGTATAAGCGTTATTTTTCTTTTAGCTTTTCAGCATCTAAGGTTCTTTGTTGACAATGCTGCCTCTTAGGCTTGATTTACCAGCCCCCTGTCCAACCGCTCTTTAACTCCCCAGCCGAACTCTTCTAAACTAAATCCCTTCAAATCAAATAGTGCGTGAGTCATTCATGCACCGCAGAAGCTATTCCTTCATGAGCGCTTCCCTCCTATGGTCCGTACGCTTAACATATGCAAATCATAGAAAACCATAGGTGTGGGCAATCCATATGTTGAGTTGAACTGAACTATCCGTGGGATCCACTCAGAGTTTTGAGGATGACAAGGAAAGTCGCCCGCCAATAGGCCTCCCCGCGTAAGGCTTCAGCCACTTAATCTGTATCTGGTACCACTTCCTTCGCTGCGCTGAGTCAGTAGGTGTAGGGAAGACCCTTTCTGTTTCAGAATCGGGTTCTACTGCTAAACCGTCCGCACTGATGATCAACCTTCTTTCCCGGAATCGAATGTTCTTCGGAAAGCCTATTGGTATCACGTCACGGGAGACCAAAACATAACTAGAGAGTAGCTGTTGGAAAGTCAGACGGATCTTTCTCCTTATCGTTTTCCCCAATCCATATAGTTTCATGCTTTGATCAAGAAGATTCACAAAAGGCGGGTTCCGCCCGTAGTAGAGAGAATGCGGGCCTCGCTGAGCTGAGCATAGATTAAACAAGCAAAGAGCGGTCACAATCGTGGATCGAAAGTTTTGAGACAGATGTAGCAGGAGACAAAGGCTGGAGTCCAAGAGCGAGACTAGCCCCCCGCAGCCGCCGCCATGAGACCAAGGACAGACGAGCTAGACGTGGTATAGAGCACGGATTTAGGTATATCCTTGCTGTCCCCTCCCCCCGCATAGTCCCGTTGACCGCGGAGTCGTTGTCAAAGTAAAAGGATGAGGATCGAAGAACCGAAGCCTATAGATAGGAAACGGCTAGTGGCTGCAACAGTCCAGGGTAAGGTGTACGTTCGGTTTGAGCTTGCTTTTGTGATGCCCGACGGGCGCCGTTCTCGCTTCTCTATAGACCCCCCGTTTGAGGTTCCTTTTCCTAAGAGATATTAGTGATTTTCCCGGGGACAGCATAAGTGATTCTAACTTCAATGCCCGATTGCTTTTACTTAGACGAAAGCAAGTAACTAAGAAACATGTACGCATGGTATCAGAGCGAGGAGAAGAGTTCCTCGGCTGAGAAGTGCCCCGTAGACATTAACATAGAAAACAAGGATATGGATCTGGGAGGTCAAAGTAGGCACGACTGTAGATCACTTATTTCAATAATTTATTCACTATATGCAATCTGTTATCGAGCAAAGGCTCATGCCTGCCAGCCCTGAAACCTGAGTAGAATGGCATTTCTTGTTTTATATGATGCAAGGCGAAAGCATGTTGAATATGTTCCTTGTCCGGGCGAACCTTACGCTTTCTCGCTAGTTGCTCATCCAATACCAAGATTCATAGAAAGAAAGGCACAGTCTACAAATAAGATAGAGTTTGGTCTGTTAAGACTGAGGATAGGATATACTATTCATTGTAAGATTGATCCTGGTATGTTACATCCGCTTAGTCAAGCTAGGACGATACCAGTCAGAAGAGCAAGTATCTAAGTCTTTCTAAGTGATTGTTTCTGTTGAAACTGGCTATATACTAGCGGCAGCTTCTCAATCATAACTTGGGGAGAGCTACAGTTCGAGAAAGGGATTCCCATCTCCTTCTTATTTATGGGCTGAACATCACTTGATAGATTATACGTAGGTAGGCCCGTTCATGTGTTATAGACATGCTCAATAGGCTCCGTTGGAAGGAATCGATATGAAAAAAACAATTATATGAATGAAATTCTATTAAAGAAGAATTCTGGCGTCCTGGTCCGATCATGGAATAAAATAATTCAAGTTGTCCAAGAAACAAGGAGAAGTCCAGATGATATTGAATAAGAAGAGGTATGGGTGGGCCAGCCTAGTAGACCTGTGATCATTAACGGCGAACATTTGCCGGAAGAAGTCGTCCACCAGTAACCAAACCGCCTACTATTGGTTTTTCTTTTGAAGAAACGATGAAGTTATATTGTTCGCCTTATTAAAAGCTAGTAACTTCTTATTAAAAGGTAGATAGTAGATAGGGATCGGGCACTTCCTCGTTCGAGTATATTCGTTCCTCGACTGAAAGGAGAGGAACGGCACGTTTCCGCTTGGGGCGCTTCTGTAATAAATAGCGTATATTTCTTTTTATAGATAGTTCTCTGTCGGGCGTCTTGGTATTGGATCCATTTCTCTGGACTTTTACAAATTCCAATGTCGTTTTATTCGTGCCAGTTCGTTAGCCCAATGGCTCTTCCTTCCCCACCCTCCGAAGTTACCTGTGAATCCCCCCTTCAGATCTTACCACCGAACTGACCTTCTGCGCTGCGCTCTTTGAAATAAATCACCCTGCCTCACGTTCCCTCCATCCGAGCCCGCGGCATCCCGGCCGGCACATCTCGAGATCGAGTTTAAGTTTCTTTTCTAGTTGGGATCAGGACCCGGCGTCAAATCCACTAAAAGCATAAGTTGCTTTGTTGATGACTTAAAACCACCATCGGTAGACCCATCCACTTATCCCTCTATCGTCCAGGCTTTTGTCCCTACCCACGTGTGATTGATAAATAAATTCAAGGGTGCTGTTTTTGCTCGGGAAACCAGGTTAGTTTTAAATGCTATGGTTCTTGTTGCCGCCCTCGGGATGGATACGCGGGTACTGGTTCTCAAACGGACTCTGCAGGATTAGGAATTGGCTGCGGAAGCACTTTATATTATTCATTGAACAACAAGAAGAATCAGAGTTGTATAGTGTTGCACCGCAACCACCTGCCCCATGCATAAGGGCTTATCCTAATCGGGGGCCTGGAACGGCAATGACAGAACCGCGCCTTATGACGAAAGGGGGGAGGCCTGGAAAAGTGAAGGTGAAGGAGCTAGCTGCTCGATCGAAGAACCCTGCTGCTTGGGTTGTTGAAAGTGATGAAACATCGAGTGATTTCTAATCCGGTGATTCATTAAGAATATGGTCTCCGGCATGTGAGGCTGAATCGGTTGATGCTAGACCACTAGGAAATTTAGGAGCAGGAGATGATGCTATATTCCGTAGTTGAGATGACTTGTTCTAGGGAGCATGCACGGAATGAGATAATAGGACCTGAAATATGACAAACAAGCACAACCTAGCGTGAAATCGGCCTAAAACACGAGAAATCACATCTCAAACGGTGTAAGAACAGGGGTAAAAACATGTGTAAATAACGGTCTATCATAGAGGCATTAGGTTGCTTGGCAATAGTGGCTAGATTTAGAGCTAATGGCTTGGTTTGGATTGTCTATTATAGTTTAGGTTTTACTGTTTCTTTTGTAATGGAATGGGATAATAACTTTCCATCAGATTATTATGGTGTTGTTGACCTACCTCCAACCACCGATGCAGACATGCTAATGGTAGGGGTGTACATGGGTCGGGTGGATCGGATTTTGACCTCTTTAATCACCCAACGCATACATCACGATTTATGCTTAATGAAACCCAAACCCACCCAATAAAATTAGAACCCAACGGTTTGGGTCAGTTCGGAATGGAGTGTAAACCAAACCTAGACCAACACAATAAAAGAAAAATATTCTCAATACATAATCTGAAAATGTGGAGTTGTTGATCTCTGATCATGCGGTACAATAACATGGAATGAATAAATAAAAATGCATATTGGGCCTAGAAGCCCATCCAATTTAATTCTCCCTCCTTCCCTGCCTTGGTCAAGAGCTTAATGAAGTTGAAGACTTCATATACAAAATGTTAAATGTAGTCATTTTTACTAGACATTGGGTCATTTGGGTTATTCGGGTTATAGAACCCCAAACACCCAACCAATCCAGTCAATCAACAAATCTTTATTCTAGCATCTCGATCCACCCATTTGATTTAATTTTGCTTGGGTTTCGGGTTGGTCCGGGTTGGGTGATACAGGTGGGCCGGTTTATGGGTTACTTTGTTCACCCCTACTAATGTGTAATATCAATCAGAATCAAAGTACCAATTTCTGAGACTACGTCCGACCAAGGGGTTAGGTAATAAGCGCTTTAATAGGTCAAACCCAAGTCAGCAGAAGTGTTCGGAAGCATAGCAAACATAGAAACTTTAATAGCTCTGATACAAGCCTAGCAATTTAGTACTTTTAAATAAGAGTTTAGAAACACAAGTAAAAATATTTAAAAAATACGAAGATGTAATAAATCATCGTAACCATACCAAATGCTCAATTGAATAGAAGCACTAGCTCGAATGAAGTGGACAATGGCAGGGATAATGAACTTATAGATACTAATGTTTCCAGCGCAAATGTGATTTCATACGAATACGAGAACTAAGGTTCAAATTCACGACACGAACTCGAAAACCAATCATTAATTTTTATCTAAGTTGTTTCAAACTTGTCCTTAACCTCATAGGAATATCACCCTCTCCTGTCAAATAGGAGACTAAATGGAATAAAAATCGAAATAACACGAGAATTCAACAAAGAAAGGTAGATATGTGTGTTCCAATTTTCTTTGTTACCAAACAAGCCTTCTCCTTCCTCAAATGTGTATCCTCCTTTGAGGTGATAGAAAATCCACTCATTTTCCTTCTCAAGTCGAATGGCCGAATTTTAAGTTTCTTGTTGCCAAAGAAATGGAATGCAAGACCTTTGATGGTTGTTTGAGTCTTGTCTACTTATAGGTTGAGGAAATTAAGATTAACTCCAATGATAGGCCACGTAGGCCTAACAACGGGTCTATCGATCTTGACAAATCAATCCGAACATGGTTTTTAGACCTCAAATTAAAGTGTACAAATATCCCATTGAAACAAACCTCGTCCAAATCAGCAAAACATCTATCCAAATAAGTTTAAAATTGTGTTTGGAACTTCTTCGTTTGACTTCTAGCAATTGGACCACGATTTGAATTTTTCCATCAATCTTTGAGTCGCCTCTAATCACTAGTATCATTGGTTCGATGCACTCATCATTCCTCCTCTCTTGAAAAGAATTTGCCTTCAAAGTTGAACAACAATCAAGAAAAAGAGCTAAGTCAAAAAAATATTGAATGTCAAAATTACTCCATGCTCACAAGGCAAATCTATCTTGTAGGCATTATCACTAATCTTAGCAAACACTTGAAATGGTTCATCTTCACAAGTTGACAATTTTAGAAAGCCTTTGTTGAGGATAACTCTCATTTCTCATGTTAACCCAAACCCAATCTCCAACTTCAAATCTATGAAGCCACCTATATTTGTTCAAATTCTTTAGAATTTGGTTGTATGTCTCTTAATATTTAATCTCGCCTTCTCATGTAGAACCTTCATGAAGTCTGCCTTCGTTGCACCATCTAAATTCGTATGTTTACTACTTGACAATGTTGTTAGATCCAATGGAGTTAAAAGGATCAAAATCACACAAAAAAAAAATTTCAAGAGTTAATATTTGGTAGTAGAATGAGCGACTCTATTATGGAAAACTCTACATGGGGCAAACAATCTTTCCAAATGTGAATGTTACTCTTAATGATAGCTCTAAACATTTGAGCCAAAGACTTATTCCTCTTTCAGTTTAACCATAAGTCTATTTATGACAAGTAGAAGAAAACAACAATCTCGTCCCAAACTTACCCCAGAAAGTTCTCAAAAGTATTTTTAAAACATAGAATCAAGATAAATAAAAATTATGGTACTAGGCATACCATGCAAACGAAAGACTTTTTTGAAGAAAAAAACAGTTGTGTTAGATGCATCATCACTTTTATGACATGGTATGAAATGCGTCATCTTACATAATTGATCAACGACAAAATAATAATCTCTATCTCACTACTCCTAGCTAATTCCAACATAAATTCGTTAGAAATATCAACCTAAGGATGAATAGGAATAGGAAGAGGAGTGTATACCAGGTTGTTGAACTTTGGACTTAGCTTGGCGATAGTCCATGCATTTATCATTGATTCTCTCAACAACACTTTTAATGTGTGACCAATACAATTTCTTTACAAAGTTCAAGTGCGGGGTAATATGATGACACATAAAAGATATTATTTTCATACCTCATTCTATGGAAAAATTTACATCATTATAAGACATCTTTAGCCATTTCGACTTAAATTTGCATGGTATGCACTCAAATGTGTGTTTCATAGCCTCTAGAAGTATTTTTACACATTTAATACCCTTTGTGTAGTTTTTGGATATTTTCAAGTCAATATATTATGTACGACAAGATCCAAGAACTAGAAGTCATACTCAATTGGAGCAGCTCATTCCAATTTGGCAGCTCAAAGTGCCTACCTATACCCATTTTGGCGCCCAAAATGCCAAATCCAGAGAAGTTGCATTTTCATTTTCAACTACAATGTAACTTTCTCTTTAGCTCCAAGCATAGGATATTGAGGAATGATTCGAAGTTGAGATGGTTTCTCCTATAAAATCTCCCAGAAGACCTAATTCTTAAGCCTTTATATAGACCCTCTCGGGCTCTATATGAAAGACAACTTATATAAGGATTATTATGCAATCCTCTCCAATCCTTACTTCAATGAGAGTTTAGTTTGTAAAGCAGATTGCTCGATCCATACAGGAATCGTAAGATTATCTATTTCCAAAGCTTGGATCTATGATACCCACACTCATGAACAAAGCATACTATCCCTATAGTGCCACACCTCCTTCGAAAAAACATATGGAAAACTAACACTAAATAAAATTGGAACAATACAAGACGATCTTCCACCGTGAAACTTTTACCTCTTCGTCTCAACCCCACAACCATTTGAGCCAGAATCTGGGAGACGTCAATAATGGGGGGTTGCTATAAACTATATGACCAAGTTATTCTCCCACCAATGAACTCCGTCCTCAACTACAAACTTAGTTATTTCATAATGTGAATTTGTTTATAAAAAATGTATGAACACTAGTTCGGCCTATAACAATTGCAATGTGAGAAAACCCTAATCGCAGTCGCAAAGGAAAAAAATCGTCCGATAATCTCGAAGCTCTCTTAATTTAATTAATTTCCACATAACAATTCACATATTTTTATAACATAAAAATTAAGACTAATTACCACTTTTCCAAATTTCCACACCAACCAACCCTACAACAACAAATATATTATATATATGTTTTTCTCATTTGTAAATGATTTGCTTAATATGTGGCAATTTATGCTATCAACCAAAATTACGGTAGATACGACGTGGCATTTTATCCTCCAGGTAGATCGCAGAACAGAACGTGTGAAAGATGCAGGACCAGGACAACCAACTTTCCTGGAAAAATCCCAAAATACACTGGTTGTTGAAAAAAATCCCCAAAATATGTACGTTATAAAAAAATTCCCAAAGTACACATGTTTGACATTCATCGCCGTCGTCTAAAGTAGTGAATATAATCACCGCTGAAGACAACAACGGTGAAGCAATCACCACTTTAAACAAAAACGATGAAGACATCACCGTTTTAGTAAAACGCGGGGAATGAATCACCGCTTTTAACAACAAAGGTGAATGTATCACCTTTCTAGCAAAACGCGGGGAACGAATCACTACATCAAACGACTACGGTGAAGGGGTCGAGCGACACAGATCGCTGACTTGGATGACCGCGGGGCATTCACTGTCGTAGAGAAAAGCGGGGAATACCGTGCTGTCCACGTCAACGATCCGCTTCGCCCCGCTCTTTCACTGCTGTCGTCGGATGCAGTGAGGTGCAGATTTTGGTTTTTCTACTAGATCTGACGCCTCATAGCCTCCCACGTAAGCTATCTTGGTCATTCACCGCGTTCGAAAAAGGAGGGGTCTTCTCTGCATTAAACAAACGCGGTGATGTCCCTACATCAATTTCGAGTTGTCCCCTTCCCCTATAAAGACCACCCTTCTCCCCTATTCCAAATCACACCACCACACTACTCTTATTTTCCCCTCCATTTCTTCACTCTAGTTTCGTTCTAAGTATGCT